CAACAAAATTATAGCAAATCCGTTACCTCGAAACGTCCACCCCACCCACAACCTTGCTCGCAGGAAACAACGCGCCATTTCCCTGCAAAGAACCTACGGGGATAACCCGGGTGTCCTATATGTCGACGCGGCAGAATACAGGCACCATGGGGCTTTCACGGCGGCGGTGACTGACAACTTACACACCCCCATCGACGCTGTCACCGTCCTGACCACTGACCCAGAAACGGCGGAGGAGGTAGCCATAGCCCTCGCCTTCACTGTGATCCCAACCCCCTCAGTGATCATCACGGATTCTAAAACCGCCCTTCAAAATTTCGCAGCTGGCCGCATTTCCAAGCCAGCGCTCAAAATTCTTCACAGAAACCCGCCCCAGACGTCCGTCAGGCTGGTCTAGACACCCGCGCACGCTGGTCTCGAGGGAAACGAAGCGGCCCATGAACAAGCCCGAGGATACACTATCCGGGCAGGGCCTAGCCTCCATCCCTATCACGGGGCCAGATCCGCCAGGGACCGTCCATCCAGCTTCCATGAAATCACCACACACTACCTCCTCTCCCGTCAGGTCTACCCGCCAGCCGACAAGTCCCTTACCCTGGAGCAGGCCCATAGTTGGCGCCAACTACAGACGGGCACTTTTCCTAACCCCCCTATCCTCACCCACATCTTCCCCTCAATGTACCCCACCTCGGAATGCGCCCTATGTGGAGACAAAGCCACTCTACCCCACATAATATGGGCTTGCCCACAAGACCCTTTTCCCTCAATCCCATCCCATGATGAGTGGGAGACCTCGCTCCGAAGCTCCGACCCAGAGGTGCAAAGCGCCTTGGTGGAAAGGGCAAAGGAGGTCGCCGCCACAACGGCCACAACGAGGACCGCACTCTAAGGAATTCTCATATTCCGCCAATAAAAGTTTTTTCTCTCTCTCTCTCCGCTAATGGATACTACACATGATCCGTTTCAAATCCTGGAGCTGCTGCTCTTTTGTATAACATGCGAGCTCATCCACATGTGAATAATAAAATGAGCGACGCAAACTTTTGAGCGACAACCCTTGCTCAAGCTTAACAAGATCTAGAACCCCCTCCGCTCCTCCCCCCCCCCCCCTCCCCCCCCCCCCCCCCACACACACACACTGGCGAGCGCCGTAATCATTAAACGTCTTCAAACGAATTCTATGCTTGTGTCCGCATTGTGAAGGTGCAACGACCACGAAGAGGGAGCCAGTTTTTCTTCTTCAATACTTGTGCAAATGTGAAATATAGGTTGGAAATAGTTCATTGTTATGAGCGCTAAAGATGTGTCTTCACACAATAAAGTAATCGGAAAAGTAATGATTACTTTTTTAAGTAATGTCCAAATACTTTTGCCGTCGAGTAATCAAGTAATCTAATCGAATACTTTTTAGCCAAGAGTAATAGTAATTGTAATCGATTACTTTTTTTTAGTAACGTGTACAAGACTGCCTAGCAGACGACGCTCCTACCAGAAGGCGCTTTGTGCGCACACGCTCAATCTTTCCCGTATCGCCGCACGCCTCCGCGGCACGGCACTGGCCGTCCCGGTAGTCGATGCTCGCTCGATATTATTAAAAAATGGGGCCACTGTACGTTTTAATCATAATGTGTTTGACTTTATTCTTTTACCGTAGCTGCCGGAGCTTCAACAAGCTGCATTTCTGCAGTTTTTTCTTTGGTCTTCCGTTCCACGCGTGTAATTGTGGCGAAAAAGAAAATCGCATCGTATTGTATCGTACATTATCGTATCGTTACGTAAGAGGGCCGAGACCTTTCTTCACTGCATTGTTTTACGCCATGGCGCTCCACAGATCACTAGAGATAGCGGCGCCCCTTTCTCCATAAAGCGCGAGACACATGGACGGCAGAATCGTCCGATCCGACGTCCGAACCGACAGTCCGAACGCCGCTCCGAATTGCCGCACGCAACAGTTTGAGACACACGCTTCCGACCTTGCCTGCGACACGACGATCCGTTCGGCTCCACCCAGGACCCGGGAAATCCAAGCGTTCCAGAGGACTCCGGAGGTCATCTCTGGTCCCAGATTGACGGTTCAACTCGCGCGAGCGAAATTACGAGCTCATTCTCAATAGCGCGTGCATTCTTTGCCGGGGCCATCTTTCTCGAATGGGTCAGCGGGATTCACGCGTCCGGCTTCCCCTCGCCCGTCCCGTTATCGCGTTCGCTTCGTCCCACCAGACCCAGTACGTCATCATGACGTTCGCGCTAGCTGTGCTGTCATTGGCTGGACGCATCCGACAATCCGTCCGCCGTGCGAAACTATCTGGCGCGTTGGACGCATGTCGGATCGCCGATCCGACGTCTGAAGCGACCAAATTTTTCGGATCAGGCAGTCGTACTGCCGGATCGGACGTCGGACCGGATGGTTTTTTCGCACATGTGTCTCGCGCTTAAGGCTTATGAAGAGGATTTCCGGCTGGCTAGCTCTACTAATGGAGTAGCAGGTGCCTTGTAAAACTAGTGGACTTACTCAGTGCCTAAGGAAATGGGCAGATTAGTTGTTTTTATAGTGTCTGGTCAGTACATCATTGGTAGTTGAGCAATTTAGCTAGTGCACTACGACCGCTAGCCTGGGGTCGGTGCACCACCCAGTTGTGATGTTCCGATGCTCATTCAGATCGAAACAGGCAGGGATGGGGATTAAACCCACGATCTCTGGGTTCCGCGGCGTGAGCTTTCGCTCCACGTGCTCCGAGCTGATGTACGCTATCTCACTCGGTCCCCGATGCCCTTGCTTAAGTCGCACTTTTTACTACAATGCTTTGTACTTATCTGAAGAAGAAGAGGATTCTAAGAGAACGGTGAAAATTGTGACCGAGAGGGGACTCGGCAACAACAACAGCGAAATAAAATGGGGTTTCGAGAGCAGGCCATGTCTTCTATCAACATATTTACATAAAAGTCTTCAAATTGCGACAACACCTTCTACGCAACTTATTGTTATTTGTTATGTTTGAGGTGTCGCTTTATAAAACGGAAGACAGCTATACAATACGCAATCTGAAAAAAAAATACACAAATAAAAGATATAAAGCACATTTTTCGTTGAAGTAGAACCTTCAATCCTCAATGTAGATTACAGATGTTTGGTCAAGTACGTCTTGCAGTTCAATACGCAATTATTTGCCTTATCAGTACTATATATCCTTTTTTTTAATTCTTTAGGACAGCTTTTTTCGTTGTTGTTTTCTGTGTGCGTGTGTGTGTGTGTGTCAGGGGGAGGGGTTGTATTCGGGTGTTCCATGCCACCCTCTCCGTTACCATGTGTTGGTCCCAACCCATTTTCTAAACCCCTTATTTTCTTAAACCTTCGCTAGTATGTCTGCTCACCCTATAATTAATTCACGTGAAAATGAGAGACCTGGCCTTATTCAATGTAAGCCGGGTGGCGTCTGAATTTAATCTTCGTTCCATCCGAGGCATTCGACTTTATACACGTGGTCAAATTCAGGCCTCTCGGGTAGTCTCCGTCGGCCGTTGAAATTGTCGAAGGCGCTGTTCTTAATTTCGCAAATATAGCAACAGCTTAAAATTTTCTGAGGTAAAATTCGGAACTGAAATATACCAACAGTTTTTAGGTCACGCCGCCGCGGTGGCGCTGTTGTCGGCGTGGCGCATGCGCAAACGCTCCACTTGGCGCGAGCCTGGTTAATGGCGAAGCGCACTGGCCACGCCTGGCGTGCGCAAACACGGACCCATTTGGAAGCAGCCTGGGGGTCTTTCCAGAGAAATCCAGCCCGCTACGTGCAATTGCCAATTTTTTCATTACACTTTTAGAGCACTCACATCGATTCATGATAACTACACTATAAATAATGCCGTCAGACTTGTATGTACTTCAACTACTCCTACTCACTTCACTGAAATAAATTACTTTTCTGAGTAGTGTAGTAACTTAGAATTGCATTTTTATTTCGGTAATTAGTAACTTACTCCCGAAGAGGAGCTGCGGGATCAGTGCCGAAGACGCATTTTTTGTATTCCGAAGGTCAAGAAGACTTGACGCATTTGAAACAAACGGCTCGTCCCTGGTCTCCCCAACCTGGGAACTCTCGCCCACTACAGAAGGTGTACACACTGCATCCTCACTCTAACGAGGCAACAAAATGCAGCATTCGCTCTGAAGCTCATCTGGTGCTTTCGTAGTTTGGGCTGTACTTGAAGAGTCGCGTACTAAAGGGCAACAAAAAGATATCTCTTTGCCGTTGCCTTTCCTCCCAAAACTCAAAATATACAGGTCTTCCAAGATTCCAAGATTTTTCGAGAAACCTTAGGCAATACCCCCAAAGTATTTACATGAAAAATAATAAACATCCAGAGCTTGGAAGTATTTTTAGTACATGGTACTTCGACGGCATGTGAACTTCTTTTGTTGTTGCATCTTGGCGATTCATAAGCAGGAAGGAGCTTAGTATTACTTTAGTAATAATTTCGCTCACGAATCAAAACATATGTACCTTGTCGTTACCATAAAAGAAATATCTTCAAAAGTATTTCGCTACTTTTTCGCGGTAGTTAGTAGTTTATTAGGTCCCTTTTTATTTGGATAATTTCTCCTCTGCTCAAATTACTTTTGAGGCCAATACTTAATAACTTGCCTTAATTAGATTTTTATTAAGTTGTACATATCTGATTACCATTTCTTTTTTTAAGTACAGTACAGATTTCCGCATGTTACTTTAGGATTCATTTCTCAAAGGTCCCGAAGATGGAGAAAAAATGGGATATGGACGGTTTGCATGTCTTTGTCTGATATAAAGTTTTGTCCGAAATGAAGAGCGGTGATTTTAACATGAGCACATTGTGTACTTTAGTGGCGCTGTTAGCTTTGGAGCCCCTGTGGTCTTTAAGATACAGAACACCACGAGGACATAATACGGCTACGGCCGTATTTCGGTACTTTCAAGCAAGACTGTTTTCCGTCCTTTCTCAAAATGCAGTGAAATGAACGATCCAAATGAATGAACGATCTTTATTGAAGTCGCTGCGTGTCGTATTTGCCTAAACTTGTAGTCGGGGATCGTAGTTTAGATTTACACTACCTCTTTTTTTCTTCCCACGGCCAATGCATTTTAGGCACTACCATCGGTACCAAAACCTTCCAATATGTCGGAAATATGATCATTAACAAGTACACTAGATGGCGCTTTTGTGTGCACGCGGTGATGTCCATACGAAGATGTGGCCTATGGTTGGACGTGGTATCTGGTTGAGTTCATAACGCCTCGTAGGTAGTCGCTCGGGAATCGGAGCTGTCGGCTTCCGGATGTGGTACTGGGTCTCCCAACATGGAAGCCAAGGCTAGGCTTGGGTAACTCACTGCTCTGGATGTTATACACTTTTGCCAAACCTGAGGTTCAACTGGGTCGCTCAACTTTCGACTTTTGGGCAAAATTTGACAATGATCAACTCCTTAGACAGTGTTCCAACATTTAGACACAAATTTCAAATAGTTGTAAAAAAATGCATGCAGAATTTGGTTTTCAGTTTTAGTAAATTATTTTTAGGAGTGTGCGAATAGTGGTTGGAATTTAATAGCGCAGTGCCATCTATATCTAATAAACAGAAGCTTCGACACACCATATCTAGGCTGCAACACCCCATACCCATTCCAAGTGGAGCGTAAGTCCTCCATACCAAAGAACGCTCAGGGTATGACCGAACTGAGTACGTCATTGGAAGTTGGGAACATCACAAGAAGCGTAAAAACACACATATCGCTTCCGACCAACTCATTTGCAAGCAGTGTCGGCAAGGACCCCCAATGATAACCCATCTACTTTGGTCCTGTCCGGCTCTAGGGAGCCATTTGCAACAACCATAAACCACCGAGAGTCAAAAATCTTCAAACCTTGCTGTACCCCGCGAACAATACTAAAAACAAAATGCTCGCGTTGCGGGCCTTTGCCAAGGAGGCCCAACTCGTCAGCAAAACCTGACGATAGAAAACGGCCACCCGCACACCAATTAGCCAGAGAGCCATCCTGATTCAATAAATTCAGTGGTTCACTCATCTTCGACGCTGTGAAAATAATCTGTTTTCCTGGCTTTCCCTAACACAGTGAATGCTATGAATGACGAATGACGCTGCGCTTTCGATTTGAACAACTTTTCGCGCACCCCTAGTAAATACTATTGCTTATACAATATAAAAGCAAACGTGTAATATTTTAACGATTGCATTGGTTTCTTAATGGTTAACAAACTGCCCGATACACATTGTACTGTCCACAAGCTAGGTGGCGTCGGGTCGTTTTCAATTTCAGCGGATGCGCATAATCGTCGAACCTTTCTTGAACTTTTCTCGAAACTTGGCGTTTCAATGTTCGTAAGAGTAGACCCTAGTCGGACCCATGTAGGTTCGCGTCCCCCTGCGATGTTATACGCTGCCCACTGGAACGTCAGTCCGGTGAAGTTCACTTGGACACCGGGACGACGGAGCGCAGACCAGGCGGGGGCGCCGTCGGTAACCGCTCCTCTTGGAACATCTTGTACGAGAAGTAGGACGACACCACGAAGCACATCATAGAGAACATGCCGAACACCTGCACCAACAACAATAGCGTCAGATCGGGTTCTCTTTATGAGACCGGGATCGCACTCTGGGAGCAGCAAAAAAAAAAAACATTTTTGTGCTTTATCAATAGCAAGAAAGGCCCGCGCACGACGTCATCGTATAGTGGATCCCCGACCCGGTGGCGAACACTCTCAACTGAAAACGCCGGAATGCGTCTACCATCGAGAAACGGCGGACATCGTGACTTGGGGTCACTGGGGCTAGCGTCGCCTTCGTTGTGATGAGCTACAAGATTCGATGGCTGCAATGCAGACGCAAGGTAGCGTGAGAAAAGAGCAAACCCTGTCTTCTAGGCGGCTATAATCAACGGAAGTATATTAGCACATTTTCTTGACTAAGACGCTACTTCCACGATCAAAACCCCGCTACTCCCCCCACGGCCAGCGTCTCTTCGTTCGACGCACCACCGTTTTGGGGGACGGCTACCATGGTAACTGCAGTGTCCTCTATGGAATCTATATGCTTTTGAAGCGTCTAAACGGCGTTCCATCGTGCTCTATGGAACGCACAGACGCTGCAAGCGACGGTAGGTGGATTGAAGCGAGTAACAGCCCTTTGTGCTAGCTCTACAACTGAGCTAACCTATAGTTTGCTTCACCTTAATTCCAGACGTAGCCGACTCTACCAGGTGATGGGACAAATCGAGAATGTCAAAAGCGCACCATCAGGGTGAAGGTCATGCTTCTGTACGTTTTTATTCTTTGTCGGTGATTCACGAATTTGCAATATTAAAGACTGTTCGACTTTCAAGAGACCACTTGACAAGCATCCCCTTGTCGATATTAAACAACCATTTTTTTCCCGAACAAGAGTTATCGGTGGCGATTGTGGTCTGAGATTTTATAGTTTTAAACAAAAGCCTAAGCTACAACTTAAATACACCTTGCAAGTTCGAATGCTGTTTCATCGTTGAATTCCATAAAGTAACAGAAAAAGCAGTTTTGTTTCAAGTACAATTTTGAACAAGTTCGAATGCTGTTTCGTCGTTGAATTCCATAAAGTAACAGAAAAAGCAGTTTTGTTTCAAGTACAATTTTGAACGGATGCTCACCTCATATTTTTGTCTCGCGCATGCCTCCACCACGGGATGCTAATTTAAAATGTTTACTGTAATATATATATATATTTTTATGGCGCTTCCATATCTGCTTTGGGGGACCCGAGTGATTTTGTGAGTCGCGTCGTGTGCCAAGAGATGAAGCGACTTACGCCGGCCACCTTTGTGCTCGCATTGTCGTCCGGGTCCGGGCAGTAGGCGGTAAACTCCAGCAGGCAGACGATCAGGTAGAACAGTGCGATGAAACTGTCGCTCACTAGAAGCTGCAGCAAAAAAGAAACGAATACAGGATTTGCTTCCAAGAATACAGGAGCAAGACTTCCACCGCATGCCATGGTGGAGTCGACATGCGTGGTTACTTCCCCGCCAAAGCACTCGCGAGCACTGACTTGGCGAGTCGCCAAGAGTCGGTCAAGCAATGTCCTCATTGACAAACAAAAAAGGTCGTCCCCTACTATCCTAGCAAAGACAGCGGTCACACAAGGTGTGTTGCGGCACCGAGCTAGATGAGATGAGAGCGCCACTGTTTCTGATGCAGCGGCGACTCTGGGACCGGGTCATAGTGTAAAGGAGAAGGTGAAAAAGTCCCGCCGTGCTACGTTTTCCTTGTGGACGATAGAGTATAGAAGCGAAAGAGAGACAAATATCGCTTGGCGGTAGAGCGGCAGCCCATGCTTTATCGAGTCATGTGATTCGCGGGAGTAACTCAAATCTACTCGAGCAAGACTTGGACCGAAGCGAATGTTACGTAGTCAAACGGGCATATGTGAAAAAGCCGTAAGAAACCCGCTGGGGTTTGTGTTCATGCCCGGAGACAGGCGCGGATCCCATATATGGCAGCACGTTTGCGGCAGCGCTCGTGCTGAGACTCGAGATTGGAAGCACGAGGCTGGTACTCAAGGAATGAAGAGTTCCGGTCGAACGCTGATGTCCGCCAAAGAAGTTCGAAGAAGCGGTTGGGCTCCAGCCATAGAAAACATTGTAGGGGGAGGAGGTTTCTCCTATCCGGTTGCAGATAAGGCTTCAATAAAAGTCCCCTAGCGTAGAGAACTGAGCGTTTCGCGATTGATTTAGGCGGATTATGAGAGGCATGCACAACCATTGTGCTGGAATTTATTACAAGTTCTGTTTAACTTAGGACATGGTTGATTAAAGTTGTTGATTTGAAAAAAAAAAATATTACTCACAATGTAGCATTTTTTAAACTGCGTTTTTGCTATGCAATAATGTTACGAAACATTGCAGAAAATTGCAGACAACAAAAATTAACCTGCAACAAACGCCGAATTAAATAAAATATTAAATATAAGAAAACGGTCAACCCTAAATCTGTCATTAAATTAAACTAAAAATATTCCCACAATTTTAATAAAATTAAGCTGCGAAAATTGACCCGGAAATCTAGGTATAATATATAGTGCACGAATTAAAATTACCACGATTCCTGTATTTTGTTTTAGAGCAAATAAATATATGACCCGTAGAAATACTAGAGGCATTTGGCGGAGCTATGTCTTATAATTGGCCGTCATGAGAGCAAAAGGAAAATAATTATTAAAGCTCATTCGAAGTGTTTCACATTATTTAAAATGGACGTGTGGGGAGGAAAACCGGTAACAGAAATGTATAATGATTATTTTTATTAATATTTGTGTTCAATCAAGAGCCACACTAGTTCTTCAAGATTGAGGTTGCGCGACCGGAGCTTGTTATCTGATGCAGAAGGCTGACACTCGAATCTTATGGCCAATAGACATTCTGCAAAACGTGAAGCGTCATCCGCGGCGCCGAGAGAAATACCGGGAATTTAAGGTGCACAACCTGTTGTAGCAGGCGACAGAGACGACCTCAGAGGCACAGGCGAGCGGCCGAAGGCAGGCGAGCAACTGCGCTGCCCTCGCTTTTTTATTCACGTGTTGGGAGGAAACTGGCACGACCTGGTGGCCGGACTGTGCAACAGAGGCAAGTGTGTTCCGTTTGAGTTGTTTGCGACTACTCACAGAGAGCGAGAGGTTGAAGCAGCGAGCGAGTGCCTCCTGCGCTCGAAGCACGAAGACCATGACGACGAAAAACGCGAAGATGAAAGAGGTGATGACCACGAACAGGCTGAGCTCGTAGCGGTGGATGTAGGCCAGGTAGCAGTCGCCACCCATGGACTCCACCGACACCAGGCCACAAAGTCCCAGAATCTGCGCCGTCCGTCGAACGTTTCACCTCGGCAACGTTGTGCCCGAAAAAAAAAAATAGGTAAAACATGAAAGGCTTTCCCTTTAGGATTTAATACTTTAAAACAGCGTTCGCCCTTTTAAAGCTTTGGGCATCAAAACTCATAAACCTCAGTGGTTGTTTCAAGGGTTCTAAGGATTTTGCATGACTTGCTTTCTTCAATATTTCGTGGTAATTCTCTCAACGAGCACATGATTTAATTTTTGAGGTTGTAATTTCGGCTAATCATTGCAGGAAACTCTGATTTCAACAATCGTTTTACCACTGAAGACCTTACATAGTTGTTAACTTTTTTTATATTTTTGTCACCGCCGCCCCGCTGAGGCAATTGTAGGAGTGGGGAATAAACCTTGTGAATACACAAAAACAAAATCGAACAATGTACAAGAATACACGCCACAAGAAACGATCTATGGTAGACACATTTTCATGCCAAGGTAGTAAATATAAATTTCCTGGTATTGATTTTCGAATTTCAATGGTTCAAGAAAACAAACAGTATTTGTGCATGGGAGAAATGATTAGGTGGGAGATATGCCCAATGACAGAAAACATCTGGTAATGAAAATGCACCGCAGTGTTAGGCATTCGGTGTTACTACGGGTGGAAAGAGGTCAAATGTTTGCAGCAGAGGTACTGGAAGAAGGTGAAACATTTATGTCATACCGGCGGATAGGTTGAACGTATCGCTCTCTTTTGGATAGATTGTACCTTTTTTAAATCAAATTGTGAGTATTGATGCCAAAGGATGGAGCCTTACCCTTACAAAAACCAACAATGAGTTTCAATTGAGCTTCTAATGTGTGTTATAGAGTAAAATAAACTCAAAAGAAATTCAACGTTATATGAGTTTTATTATTACAAAACTAATATTTATTATTTTGAATTTACTCATTATACATTCAATTGAGTGTTATCATTACCCACGCAATATCTCTTCTTTTGAATTCACTCATTACAAATTCAGGTGAAGTTTATCGTTACCCAATCAATAGAAATTATTTTGAGTTTACTCATTACACATTGAAATGAGTGTTATCACTAAGAACACAATATTCATTATCTTGAGTTTCCTCATTACAAATTGCAGCTAGTTCCATCGTTACCGACATAATATCCATTCTTTTGAGTTTACTCATTACAAATTCCAACTTTTATCGTTACCCAGTCAATATTCATTCTTTTTGAGTTTATAAATGTACTCATTACACATGCAAATGAGTATTATCATTAGGAATGAAATATTCGTTATTTTGAGTTTATCTATACACACTCAAGTGAGTTCTACCACAAGGCACCACAATTTACGCTCAGCTTATGTAAGGTGAGCGTAAATTCAAAATAATCTCCACAAAAAAAAAAAAAAGTAAACAAGAATCTACCCGAAACGAATAGCGCGTCAGTGCTAGTTCTGATTTACACATTTATTTCCTGTCCTTATGATAATAACTGTATTCACTCTGTTTTTCTAGTGAGTTTCTAAGGACATATTTACGGCGCCCCTTTATCGCGATTTGGTCATTTTTGGTTTCGGTATTCTAACTTTTACTGGTTTCGGTTTCGCATTGTAAGGATCGCGTCTTCGACGCCCCATCGGCAGCGACGTCAGTTCTTAGTTGTTTTTTTCTTTTTCCGGCATAGTTTTGCGACCGTTGCGTTTCTCGTGCGTTGGTCAGATGTGTGTTGCGGGATGGAAATGCCTTTAGACATGGAAATGTGCTAATTTAATCAAGTTTGTCTATCTGTGAAGTTTTCTCTTGTGATGATAATGTTCAAGAAGAGCGCGGAAGACCGACGACGCGACAGAACGGGCAACTCAACGCAGTTGGTAAGCATGCTTCTTGGTTTGCATTCAACGCGTTAAAGAAAAGTGAAAATTAGGGAGTTTTAGAATAATCTCGTGGCTGCTGTGCATGCGCAGACTCAAAACAAGCATTCGGACTCCAGCTTTGGGGTCCGTTATTGCTCAAAAATAGCGTGGGTCCCGCAAAAGGCGGCGCCCACGACATCTCCGTTCATTGTGTCTTCGACGCCGTCGCCCGCTCGGGAACTGCGTGAGTCGCACTCGGCGACCACGGTCGGTATGGTCGAAGCGTATTGAAAACGCCACGGATCGCTGGATTTGCAGCCCAAAGCTATGGAAGCGCGTGTACTTACGGTCGCGGCAGACGTGTAAACATGCCTGAGTAGTGGATCGTCTGGGCTTCGTAGGTACAACAGAGCAGCTTGGCAGTGACAAAAACAAAACATGCGGCCTTGGGTATAAAACAACTATAAAAATGTTACTCTGGACGAAAAACTTGTTCAGTTTTCCAGATATAACGTTCTAACTTCCAAATAAAAGCTGTTACGATATCTTGGTGGCGTTTTAAGCGCGAGATGCTTGTGTTTTGGGGGTCCCCGGCAGAGAAAAACTAAAACTCTTCGCCGCAATCCTCGCTATTTTGTCGTCCGTAACGCGCGGTAAAGTAGCTCCCGGTATTCTAAAACTTGGAATTCGGTGGATCCTTGGAATTCGGTTCGTGCAGAGCCAATATTCATTTGCAGTCAAAATGGTTAAAGAGCTAGGATAGCCATCTTTTGTTTTGAAGTTGGAAGTGGACTGGATTGTACTGTTAGGACAAACTTCGGTCCCCTGACTTTCTAGAATTGAACTGGGTTTACATTTATCGGTTAGAACTTTTGATAAAGCAGTTGCTCCTTTTCGCCTTTTTTTTTATCTCTTTCATTTTGCAATTGTGATGTGATCGATCCAAGGGCCGCAGTTATTCCCAAAAAGCAGCAGCAGTGTGTTCCCAGCTTGCGTCCCTTCGATTCATTTCAAGGCATGCCACGAAATGAATGCCCCATGTTCATACACCGTTGGAATTGGGACTGACTTCAAAATGCAGTTCGACACAGTGTTTAAGCGGTATAAGACGTGTGTTGAATGACCTATGCGGTTGTCACAGGTTCGTGGTTGGTCAACACGAAACGCTCCCCCCAAGTCCCACTTCCTTCTCGTTTTCCTCTTCCCATTGGTTTGAAGCTCGGCCAGCATTATACTGTTTCATACTTAGCGTGCAGCGCTGTCAAAGCTACTGGCGCGAGTGTGTGGCTTCATCTAGGGTTTTGTTTGCGCGAGAAGGGCGTGCAAATAATCAACGAGATCAAGCCCCACGCTCGCGCCACTAGCTTTGACAGCGTTGCACCCAAGTATGAAAGGGAGTATAGTCTCATCCGAGCTCATGCCTTTGGCGCTCAGGGAAACATGTGCGAGGATTGCAATTGAACTCCCCCCCCCCCCCCCCCCCCCCTCCCTCAAACCACCCCTAAACAGAAGAAAGTGACAAAAAAGACGAAATTTGTGACCGCGGTGTTCGAGAGAAACTGACAACTTTTAATTACCCTGCCTGAAACTTTGCCAACATTTCAGTGTGGTTGCAGCTGTGAGGGTGAGGTGGATCCAATATGAAAACTGGACACTGAAGCGGCGCCTTGAGGATGCCGAAAATAATTATAAGTTAGAAATTAACCCACTAGTATACTTCCTAAATATTTGAGCCGGGTTTCAATGAAAATTTTTTATCCCAGTTAATTTGTCACAAAGTTTCAGGCATAATATTTTGAAAAGAATGAAACTGCAGATGTTCCAAACTGGCTGAGGTAAAGCAACTTGCAGGACACCAAGGTTTAAACTGAACATAATTTTGTGTACCGTCCACAAACATTGAAGTCTTATGAGTTAGTTTCTTCAATGTTTGAACTTTCAGCGTGCCAACTGGGTAGTGTGCAATTGTTTTTTTTTTTTTTTTTTTTTTATATAGCGCAAGCAATATCTTAATCCTGGCGGCAGGAAGTTTCGGCTAGCAGTTGACATGGTTGGACAACGGTGTGCATGCTTGCTTTCTCCGAAGCGGCCAATGAAGCGAAATAACAGCATGCGGTGATTATCCATTGATCTAATTTTTGGTTGTTTGTTTCAGACTACATGTGCTCCCAGTACAAGGGAGTGGCCCTCCCGGCGCTGACGACCAGCATGTCGTCTTTGCTGTGCTGTCGAGGGAAATTTAAAGGGTAAATATTATAGCTGCAGTTTTTTTCTATTCTGTCCCTGCTACACTTCGTGCGAATTTCTCTGCGTGCTTGGTTTTTTTGTTTTCATGGTGCTGTAAACGTTTGTTATAGTCCGTTGCAACTATAGAAAACACTTAATATTTTAACACCCTTATTGGTGTAAATGGCTTGTCCTATGGGGAGCACCCTTATTCGTGTAACAAAACACCCTAGGAAAGGGGTGTGATTCTTAGCACCCTAATAGCGAGTTCGTTTCACAGGCACTGGCACCGTTCGAGTTCTCTCCAAGAATGCATCGCACTCGCAGAGTGTTGCACGGAAAACTCGCCTCAAACGAACTTGCCCAATGCACCAAGTGCAGAAGACTGATGCTGCCGCCATCTATGTTGCAGAAAAGGTACCGACCTCAAACCGAAACTAGCGCCTTTCTGTTCGGAGGGATGGGTGGGATTCGTGGGAATGCGAGTGCAGTCACTACCAACGTTTATCTACAAACGTTGAACGCTGCAACCTGTAGTTTATAGTTGCGATGACTTCAAGCGGCTAGGCTGCCGTAGAGATAATTACAGAAGGCGTAAATTTCCGCAACCAGCTGTCTACAAAGCAGCATGGTTGTGATTTTTCAATTCTTATAACCGTTTACACTGAAGAAAACTGATGATGCTGTCCGAGCAGAAGCTTGATCCGTTTGAGCATGGTATTATGCGTGAACCACTGAAAGGGTACGGCTTAAAACTAGTCTGTTGGAATATCCAGCAAAACTTTTGGTGAGACTTTCGATTTCGATCGTCATTACAGGGTTCAGATATTAGCCTTGGTGAGGACGTCGAGAACGAGAGCTTCCTCGAACAAAATACGACGGGGCAAGTTAGGTGACGTAGGTAAATGTTAAACATGACGATGTTGC